GATGTCTTCATGTCCGCAAATTTAAAAAGGGCAAAATTTAGATCTTTTAAGAAATTGTACCAGAACCGCAAAAAAAACAGCCGCAAATATTTACCGGTTTACAATATGCCACAGTCGACTGGCCAAACATTCAACTCCGTGCGGAGCACGGGTATTTACTAGTATATATATATATTGTTGGAATAAGAAACGTTTACGATGATAATTGATAACTAGAGAAATGCTTCATCAATGATTCGAGCCAGCTTCTTACGGTGACAATTCTCACGTGACCAGGATTTAAGGGTATCCGTATAAACGTAGAGAAGCAAACACAACCCCGACAGTTACGCTGATAGACTTTTCCAACGCAGTGACGAGTTGATTTCAAACCGTGCAATTATGTTACTGTTAACTTCTGCCGCCCGTGAAATGGCGTTTACGCCTGAAAACCTGGATAGTTGAAGTTTGGTTGTTATAGAGGGCCGAAGCATTGGCTACTCTGAAACTAGAATCTACTCTGAATCTACTCTGAAACTTGCTCACGATTAGAATCAAGGTTACCCAATTCTTCTTTCAGACCGAATCCCATGAAGAGTAAATAGAAACCGCTGCGTATAGGACTTCCCGAGCCTCTATATACCGTACGCGTGCACACTCACGAGGCGCGCGAAGGATGCCTTACTGCGTTATTATTAGCGATGTGTCGGCACAGCCGAATTCTCTTCGTTCCTGCTACACGTTCTTCGTTTTTACTTCGGCATAAACCCTCGTAGCCTGTAGTGTTGTAGCTCGGTGCTGTGTGAGATCTATCTGCGGCAGGGATGACGCTCGACGCCATAGCGGCGGTGAGCTTTACGATGATGCGAAGTTACAACGAGTCTTCATGAATCGCAGCGGTGTGTGAATTGCGACGCCTAGGCGCTGTCATGGGAGCTGAACACGGTTGTCGTCACAGCCACGATGCCTGGATACGGGCCGTCATCGGGAGCATTTGGTACGCTGGTTTTACTATATAGAAAGCTGCTGCTGCTGCTGCTGCTGCTGCTGCTGCTGCACCACATCCGTTCACCGTGTTACTCGCGGCAGGCGCGCACGCGGTATTTAATTAAGACTCATTAATACGCCCAAGTTTAGTTATGATCATCGTGCAGTTTGTTCTTCGTAAAATAAACGTAATGTAATTGCTCGTCGAGGAAAAGGAGATGTACAGCATCGCAACACGAGTTAGGGATGCGGCATATATTTATAGACTAGCTAGTTGGTCGGAGGACAGCCGAGCGAGAGCAGAGTGTGATTTGTTGTTTGTGTTCCATATTCCATTGGTAATCATGAAATCCTGCCTGGAAAAGCGAGCGAGCTTTCACATTCGACCATGGAAGTTTATTTCGCCCACGGCTTTGCTGTACTTGCACGCGCTACTATTCCGTTATAGCGTTTAGCATCTATATCGAGTCTTTATCGTTTGCCCTACACATAAATTGCATAATTTTTATATTCTCTCTCACACACACACACACACACACACACACACACACACACACACACAACTGCAGAAACGTCAGACTGGAGGAATTGTCAACGACTGCAGAGGTGACAGCGACTGGAGAAATGTCAACACTGCAGAAGGTAACAACGACTGGAGAATGTGCAATCGACTGCAGAGGTAACAACGCTGAGAATGTCTACGACTGCAGAAGGTAAACAACGACTGGAGAAATGATAACGACTGCAGAGGTGACACGAGTGAAGAAATGTAGCATGCCGAGATGTCAACGACTGAAGAAATGCAACTGCCCATATAGATGGCAGCGAGCGCAGAAATGACAACTGTGGAAAAGCATCACCGAAAAAATACGGTGATAGCAATAGGAAAGAAGCATAGTGAAAACTAAACCGCATCTATTTCGATTATCTTGTACTTCATTTCTCATGTGTAATTCTCATAGGCAGATGTTTAATATGAAAAATATAACTTGCCATTTCAGCTGATAAAATTATTAAAAACACAAGCTTGCCGGAGAAACCGCCACGTAAGGCTAGAATTACTTCTAGAAAGCACACATAATGTCAATTGTAGTCAATCAACACAACTCGGTTGTTGTAGAATTCTCTCAGTACCATCCACGTCTATAGTGATTATTCCCCCAATCACACCTACTCATCATCATGCTTTAGCGTATATGCTATTAAATACTGCATATCGTAATCCTTTCGTCTTTTGGACCGAAATTACTCGTCACGATCCGATCGAAGTAAGTGGTTCCAGTGCCAATGATGACGTAAGCGGTCAGCTATAAACGTGCGTCAGTGACCGAGGGGTTCGCGGAAGTAACGGCGGCCAAAAGCAAAGGCGCGTTCCGCCTGCGCCTGGACATGAACGGCGTTTCTCCATAACAATAGAGACACGGTCGTAATCTACCTGAGGTCGTACTCAGATGGATATATCTACGAGTTATATAGGATAACCACTCACGGATACGTAGTTCGGCAGTCCAATACTAATACTATGTCTATATTTCGTCAGTCTATAGATGTGCTGGAATGAGAGAGCGGCCACAAAGGCAAGTAGATGGATGGAAGCAGATGTTAAACAAAAACTATATCGGCATTGATATAATGGTCTGTTAAATAGTTAATACAAGCAAGTGTGGCAATTTCTACGCGACAAAATTTCTTCATTACGATTATATAGATATTGTCATGTGCTTTGCTAACTACAACATTTACTAGAGAGAGAGAGAGAGAGAGAGAGAAAACGAGAGTTCTCGAATATTAGTATTATGTTTTATAAAGTCTCATCTCCGTTGTTCCATCATCAGTATCAGACCCGATCCTGCAACTGCACGCTGGCTGTGAATGAAGTCGACGGGACTATCACCTTCAACCCAGTACCAGTCGATCGGCTTGGAAGAAGACAGACTAGGATTCTCGACGATAACGGCTGCCTGTTCAACGATGAACGAGAGCTGTGCGAGAACACGCTGATACGTCTGATCGTCTGCAACGATGAAGTCGATTGCCCAGAGATGACAACGCCTGCAGAAATGTCAACGACTGGAGAATTGTCAACGACTGCAGAGGTGACAACGACTGGAGAAT